AAAAAAAAAAAAAAAGAATGCATTACCATAAATAATAGTGTGCCACCTTAAAAACCTAGACAAAACTAGCAATTAACATTTCTTCTGCTTGCTGTCTCTTCGGTTTCGTCTGATTTCCATTCCTTTGCCCAACACCAAATGGTCGGATTAGGGTTTTGTTTTGTTCCTGCTTTTTGTATAGAGAGTGCTGATGAGACAGGGAAATGAAACAATGAATGGCCCTCAGATATCCTCTTCCACTGTGTGACACTCGTTGATAAGCCCATCTCTTACAGGAAGCCCCTTTCTGTTAAACGGAGAGACAGAGGGAAGGTAAAAGCAACCAACATTTATTGGGTTTCCAACATTTGCCAGCCAGAGAGCTCACATTCTCTTACCTCATTTAATATCACCGCCATCAGAGAATGCAGGAAAAATTATTCCAGTTTCACAAACAGCAAAGGGTCAGAGACAATGACCTAACTGAGGTCTCACAGCTGATGATGAAATGGACACCTGTCCCCACGTGATAGAAAAGAGCTTTTTAAAAAATGTACATGACCCCTAAATATTCTGATTTCAGCAGTCTTTAAAACTTCCCTGGGTGTTCCCAACACACAACCAAGACAGAACCACTGGTCTATTCAATTCCAAATCTAACTGCCAGGGAAAATGAAGGTGAGTCATTACCGTTCTCAGCATTTAATCAAAACATTTGATCTTCCTACAAAGAATCCCAATTTTACAGTTTATGAGTGTTTTATGGCCTGTTTTGTTCTCCACTGCATCCCTAGCCCCTAGAATGACATCTGAAATGAGTAGAGAGTAAATATTTGTAGGGAGAACAAATGAATAAACAAGTGCTATTCTGTGCGAGGCACTGACCTATGTTCTGAGGATCTGGCATTGAACCAGTCCAATAAAACTCTGCCATTGTGCAGTGTCCATTCTAGAGCAGCAATGTCCAACAGAAATATTATATAAGTCATGCATATAATTTTAAATGTTCTGGTAGCCACATTAAAGAGGTAAAAAGAAACAGATGAAATTAATTGTAATAATATGTTTTATTTAACACATATTCAAAATACTATCTTAAAATGTAAACAATATAAAATTATTTTACAACTTTATTGACGTATTAATCGGCATATGATAAAATATAAACAATATGATATAAATAAAATGCAATAAAATAAGACAAATTATTAACCCAACTATAAAAAATTACTAATACATCATTTTACATTTATTGTTTTCACACCAAGTCTCTGGAATCTGGTGTGCATCTGACACTCACAGCACGCCCCCCAGTAGGAGACATGCCAAGGGCCATGTACCAAGGGTTACCATATTGGACAGTGCAGTTCCGGAGGGCAAGACCAACAATAAACAAGTAAGCAAACAGATTTGTAATTAGAAAGGGTGGGGAAAGAAAGCCTCTCTAAGGAGGTGATATTCGGCAAGTGAAAGGATCTAAGAAATTAACTGAGAAAAAGTACCTACGCTTCTGATGCTGAAAATGCAAATGTGTCTTCAGGATGATTCTTGATGTACTTTGTAGCATCTTGTGGTTGTCAGGGAGATTGAAATGTAACATCCTAAATTAACAGCTTCCCTCCCTAGGACTCTCTCCCAGGTTCTCTTCCTGGCATAGCCTAACCTGTGATCCTGGAGCTCAGCTAGCTTCTCAAGTCCCGGAAACCAGCAGAGGCAACGCTGAGATGCAGAAAAGCCAGAAGTCCTCCAGCCTACTGGTTGAGATGACTGAGGACCAAAAGACCTCTGTTCTCCCTGCCAGCAGTTAGGATAAATACAACACGGAGCGTTTTCCTGAAAGTTCTTTTTTTTTTTAGACGGTGTTTCGCTCTTATTGCCCGGGCTGGAGTGCAATGGTGTCTGGATCTTGGCTCACCGCAACTCCGCCTCCCGGGTTCAAGAGATTCTCCTGCCTCAGCCTCCCGAGTAGCTGGGATTACAGGCGTGCGCCAGCAGGTCCGGCTAATTTTGTGTTTTTAGTAGAGACAGGGTTTTGAAATGTTGGTCAAGCTGGTCTCGAACTCCCGACCTCAGGTGTTCCACCCGCCTCTCTCTCCCAAAGTGCTGAGATTACAGGCGTGAGCCACCGCTCCCGGCCTCCTGAGAGTTCTTTGATCCTTGCCAGCTAAGCAAAAAGGATAGGGAACCTCCACTGGCATCAAGGTTTTACCTCGTGTTAGCCAAATGCATAGAGCATTCTGAAAAGAACTCCAGATTACTAGAGAGAGGGCTACACTATTGTCTGAAAGTCAAGTGAAATCACAATTTAAAATTTCCCTTGGCTGAAATGTTACCAAGATCCACATTAAAATATGTGAATACTTGGTTATTATAAATATCACACTTGCCATTTGTAATTTTAAATACTGTGAAAACATAAATTATGATTAATTTATTTAAATATTTAAGTTGTCCTCTTAACACCTGCTTGGGGCAGTAGACATGCTAACATCCATAGCTCTCTCTTCAGTGTTTTTTTAGATGAAGGTATTATAATTCATACAATTCATTTTCTTTCTCCAATTAGTATCACAACTGTCCACTGAAACCCAAGACTTCATGTGCAGAAACCAGTTACTGACTTGTTTGCATTTCCTTACTTAAACCTTTTAAGGTCAATTGGATGAGAAGTCCATTGAGGAAAACCGGTAGACAGTAAAAGATTTATTTAAGACCCATTAGAGTGACTAGCAATATGAAGACAGTAGTTTTAAGTTTAAAGAGTATTTTTAGATGATACTGCAAATTTGCCAAAATAATTTTACAAATTATTTTACAAAATAATTTTACAAATTATTGTAAAATACAACATGAGCAAATCAATTTTGAATGTGGCGTTTTTATTTTGTTTTATTATTTATTTTGAGACAGAGTTTTCTTCTGTTGCCCAGGCTGGATGCCGTGGTGCAAGCGCGGCTCAGTGCAGTCTCAACCTCCTGGGCTCAAGAGATCCTACTACCTCGCCTCCCAAGTAGCTGGGACTACAGGTGTGCACTACCACACCCAGCTAATTTATTATTGTCATTATTATTTGCAGAGACGGGGTCTTGCTATGTTATCCGGGCTGATCTCAAACTCCTGGGCTCAAGTGATCCTCCTACCTCAGCCTCCCAAAGTGCTGAGATTACAGGGGTGAATCATCATGCCCAGACTTACTTTATTTTTGACAATTTCTATCATTGTAACTGCAACAGAGTTTGTTTTCTTCAAAATTAATTGTAATGTACAAGGAACTTTACAGAAAAACATTTAACAGAGCTGTCATTATGCAAAAGACAGGCATATGGATTTGGTCGGGTGTGACGGCTCACACCTGTAATCCCAGCAGTTTGGGAGATCAAAGTGGGATGATTGCTTGAACCCAGGAGTTCAAGACCAGTCTGGGCAACACAGCAAGGCCCTTGTCTCTACTTTCAAAAATTTTTTAAATAACATTTAAAAGAGAATATGGGTTTGAATTCCATCCTCCACTCACTGGCATTATAACCACGGGCTAGTTGGCCTTGCTTGTATATCAATTTCCCCCTCTGTAAAATGAGGATAATAATAGCACTTGCCGCTAAGGCACATGTGTGAGTCACCTCAGCATTCAATAAACGTGCACTCTAGCAGCTTAGAAAAGTGCAAGTTGCAAACCTCATGATGAGTTTGCTAAAATAAAATCATAACCAAGACTGTTCTGTTTGCATCATATTTTAACACTTGAAAAGAATGCCATCTTTATTCTATTATCATGTTTTGCTGGAGATTTATTATTTCAAATATTTTATAGTACTTTTTATTTTATCAAAATAAGTTTGTTTTAGGTATTCAAAATTGCACCTGTAAATTGCAAAATAAACGTTTTTTTTTTTTTCTTGGGACGGAGTTTTGCTCTGTTGCCTGGGCTGGAGTGCAATGGCGCGATCTCGGCTCACCGCAACCTCCGCCTCCCGGGTTCAGGCAATTCTCCTGCCTCAGCCTCCTGAGTAGCTGGGACTACAGGCACGGGCCACCATGCCCAGCTAATTTTTTGTAGTTTTAGTAGAGACGGGGTTTCACCATGTTGACCAGGATGGTCTCGATCTCTTGACCTCGTGATCCACCCGCCTCGACCTCCCGAAGTGCTGGGATTACAGGCTTGAGCCACCGCGCCCGGCTTAAAGGTGTTTCCTTATACGTGGTAGTGGCAGTGGTAGCGGGCTAGAGCCTTAGGGTCTGTTTGTATGAGTTCTAATCCCCAGAGGGACAATACTAGGGTTAAATCAGGAAGAGGGCTTGGAAGAGAAAACCTAAAGTCATAATTTTAAGGAAGTGTATGTGATTTATAGGACAGTTTTTGCTAGGCCTTGGGTAGGCTGCTGAACTCCGATTCTCCAATCAGTGGTGCAGGCAGGATTCAGAAGTCAAACCTGAGTGCTTTGGGCTGAAGTTTGCTGCAAAACTTTCAGGATAAAGACCCCAAACAATGTGATCTTTTGAACAAACTAAGAAATTCAAACTGAGTGCTGTTAGATTATAAAAATACACCTGATTTAGAAGTTGATCCCATAGATGGTTATCACAAAGTCATCCCATCACAATTTTAACTTCAGTGCAGTGGCACTGCACTAGTTTTTGAGCCAGAGTAAAGGGAAAGACACCATGTCTGTGTTAGGAAAAAAAAAAGCAGATCTTTTCTGGAAATGTTCTTGAACTATTCCAGGACACTTCTGGTAGGATCCTGCTTATAAAAGATACCATAGATGCCCTCACCCAGGGTCTTCTGGAATATACCTCACCTGTTAGATTAAGGCCTCACCCTTCTGCTGATTTTCCTTCCACACCCACCCCCAGATCTGGCCCTGCCAATCAGCGTGATCCCTCACACCTCTCCCTTTGCACTGTCCCCAGAGGTGCTTGGAGTACAACCATCCGCACTGGATCCTGAGTCCCTAGGTCCTTGCAATACCTCACTTCCCCAATGAAAATTCAAAGATCTTACCTTAGCATACTTTGTATTGCATTTCCTTGGCTTTTTAGCATCCATTTGAGTCCTGCAAGAGGGGGAGGAAAAAATAAATTGGCAGGAGGAGTAAATCTAAGTAATGGCCCACACTCTCAGGGACAGGAGAAAGCAGGCAGGTTTGAAGAAAAGAAGGCAACAGGCCTAAAGGCAGGAGCAAGGTCTTTGCTTCTCCCTTGCTTCCCTTCTCATGGCCACATGAGGTCAGGAGGTCAGAGCAAAAGACAGAAGCCAGGAAAGGAGGAGATAATCAAATGATTAGGGGTTTAAGAAACTAAGAGCGAAAAAACCCATTTCCCCAGTTAACTGGAAAGTAAACTTCATGCTTTTGCCACAAACATAACATCCCCCTATAAGATGGGCATATTTGTGGGCTACTTGGATAGTTTAACGCATATAGAAAAAGAAAAGGGGGACAATTGGTGGAAACACTTTCTCTAAGCCTCATTTGGTCATGTTTGCATTTTCTGTTCAGAGCACAGTTCTATGAATAATTAACTTACTGCAAGACAAAAAAACATTGCATACATTTATGGAATCTAGTGTCAGCAGTAATTTCTGCAAGTGGAAGGTGAGTCTTAGAGGGCTCTCGGGACACCCACACTCCCTGTTACATTAGGAGAGCACTGCTGAAACTGCTTGCTCTGTGTCCTTTGCAAGTCCCTTTTCAGCCTCTAATCTTAACCAAGAGCTAAGGGAATCAAGAATACAAGAAACAGGGGCAGAACAGGAACCAATGCAAATGTTATCACAGCTTCTACAAATCACTCCACTGGCAGGCTCTCGCACACACTATGTACATGACGATGGCTCCACTACTTTGAAAGTATTCAGAGGATTGAAGAAAAGTCAGGCTAGTATTTGTTGCAGCATCACTATGGAAAAATCAGAAGCTGTCCATAATGGAAAGTCAAAACACTTGGCACACATACGTTTTATGAAATATAATGCAGTCATTTAAAAAGATAGATCTTTATGTGTGCCTATCATGTATTGAGTAAAAACAGTAGAATATGTGTGTAATATGTCTATATTTATTTAACAAAAACCAAAATGCTTTCAGGACTTTATACAGGCATATTGAAAGATCTGGAAGAAATGAACTGTAATAGTGACTTCTGAGAAGTCGGGCTGGGGGAGGTGAGTGGGAACGGTAATTTTAACACACACACATACATACGATATGAAAATATCCTGCACAAAAGCAAACAAAAATGACCAGTAGCTTCTCTGTTTATGATCATAGTTCCACTTCTTCCTTCCCTTCCTTCCTTTCTATAAACATTTGCTGAGACAATTCCACTGATAAACTAGACATGGTCTCTGCCCTCAAAGAGAACTCCTTATCCAGGAAAGGAGCTATATAGAAGAAAGTAGATCATGACGATGCATGTGATCGATGTATTAATAATGCAGGCTTGTGCAACCGGCTCACGGAGCATGCTTCAAGGTGTTGACTCGGTCAGCTGGGGGAGCTGAGGAAGCCTTCATGGTTGAACAGGATAGAACCATGTCTGAAGAATGAGGAGGGCAGGCAGGGGTGTCAAGGGCAGATGGAGGAGGACACACAAAGAACATAGACATGAAAGAACATTGTCTTTTCCAGAAATTCTGAGCACTGTCCTTGGACATTGCTGGTGGAGGGCCAGGGAGGTAGATTAGATTGTAAAGGGTCACATAGTCCAAGTTGGAGTCTTAGGGCCTACGTGGCTACGCTAAGCCTGGGCTAAAGACGAGATTTGTAATCTGGTACCATCTCTCTCATAATATCATGAAGCACAATCTGGAGGAACTAGGAAGTCATT